CGCCAGTGGCAAGTTCGGCCGGTACCCAAGTCGCGATTTCTGTAGCGGAGACAGCATGATCATTTGCCTCCATCCGTCGTCAGGGTCAGTCTCCACAAAAGTCACAGCATCCCACAGCCTCCTTACCAATCGCATTGTTCCACTCTCAATCGCGTACTGCGGCTCCTGTGGCACAGGCTCGGGGTCATGAAAGCCGATGCGCTGAGTCGTAAGCCTGAGGCCTAGGCCCCAAACTGAAACCCTGAACGTTGGCCGCCCTAAGGAAGCTCTCCAAAACTCCCAGAAGCCCATAGCTTGAAACCTCTGAAGCACCGAACGTCGGAGCACTCAAACCCAGTCAAGCCGTTTGGAACCTGTGCGAATCCCACTCTGCTCTTCTCTCCCTAAATGCCATCTACCCCGCAAACACCGATATTCAAACCAGGAGTTGCCAAAAAAAACACTGAGCAATGATATAATAGTGATAAAAAGACAAATAACAACAACAAGCCAAAACCGATGCGAAAGAAGACAGAGGGTGCCTTGGACGGGTCCGGGAGATCGGCGCAACCTGACTCGTCGCTTTCCTTGATCAACTCATGCTCGAGGTCCTTCAGGGTGGGCCAGGGGTTTAGGGTTTCAGCACTCACAACTGGGACAAGCCTGGCGGGGTTTAGGGTTTAGGGTTTCGGGTTTAGGGTGTGGGGCGTGTTTTTTCTGGGGGGTTGAATGGTCGGGCAAGAAGGCTTCGGGATTTATGTTTAGAAATCACCTGCAAATCTGGGGGGCCTTGGGCTTTTGGCTTTAAAGGGCTTACGCTCTCGCAACTCGGACTCCGTCAGACGAGGTCTCTGTGTCCGACTACGCCAAAGTCACTACTGCTACACCACAAAGTCAATGCAAAACGTAAAAACCAAATCACCCCACCCCGAGCCCTAAAGTAAGTAACTCACAGACTCACAAAACACTCCCCAGTGGTTGCCGTGAAAAGGGGTGCAGTGACCGGGATAGAAGTTTGTGATCTAGCAAGTACTGCCGAAACTGCATGACAGAAGTGAGCCGAAGAAATACACTTAAGGCCTATGCGGGAAGCAGTATCAGCAGGACTGTATAGGAGACCATCGGGGAGGCATCTCGAAACTTGACCTCTTTTAATTCTTCGAAGGGCAATGTCAGCGGAAGGTTCTGTTTCCTTGCAGATGCAAGAAGGTTGCCTGCGGCCGAAGGCCTTGCCTTTGACGGCCGTCCAGCTGAGATCCTCCCAGCTTTGCCTGAAGCAGCCGTTAATCAAAAGATCTCTATCGAGCAATGCGTGTTTCACTTGTAGCGCTCGATGTGCTTCTCAATCAACGCCTGGAGCCATTCAGCCTCCACCTCGGGGAGGCCCTCCTGCACTTTCACGTTCACCAGGCCCTCTTCCAGCACGACATCCTTGCCTCCAGTGGACCCATTGGTCGAAACAAAGCACTGGAGATCGGCTGTTCGGCCTTCTTCGAGAACCTTGCCATCCACTCGGGAGAATGTCCATCGATCACCACGGATTACTAGCTCTGCTGCTCCCCGTAGAAGGGGACCGAAGGTCTCCTTCAGCATTCCAGCGCCAGCCGTCCAGAAGGGAAGACTGAAGAGTGCCATAAACGAGGCACCAGCGGCAATCACCCCTGCTGTCCAAACCGCAGTGAAAGTCGTCCAGGCTATTCCGAAAGAGCCCACCGAAACTCGTGATTCCCATCTGGCGGGTGGAAGCAGCACCCTCAGCTCCTCCCCGCGTCTGTCCACGGTTATTCGAGACCCACGCGGAGGCTCCAAAGTAAACTCTGTCCGAGATTGCAAACTAGCCTGGTTCTTGGCGACACTATTCGAGGCAGTTGGCTGGCCTGGTGGTAAAGCCTCTGTGACAGGCTGCCGCAAGAAACTCAATGCCTCCGCAGCGGAGCTGAACCTATCTTCGGGCGCGGGCTCGAGCAGTCCTTCCAGTAACTTCAAAAACCAGCGCTCCTGTCTCTCCCACACTGTGCCGACGAAGGCTGGCCGAAGTTTCACCCTGAGGCGTTCTTGCGGCAGTGTCCCAGGCTCCAAACCCGTCGCTGCGTACAGCAGAGTCGCGCCAACACTGTAGAGGTCGGACTTCGGGGTGAAAACCCGACCAAAAGACTCTGGCGCCATGTATCCGAAGGTCCCTTCCGCAGTTCGGGTTCCTGATCCCAGAACAGCAGAGCCGAAGTCGACCAGGTAGGTGCGCCAGCTGCGCGTATCATCCGTAGATGCTGCCTCCAGCAAGATGTTCTGGGGTTTGATGTCTCTGTGCACAATCGGCGGGGCGAAGCTGGCTAGGTGGACACACACCTCCAGAAGGGTCTCTGCCAGCAACTTTATGTTGTCCACCGTTGCGACCCAACGACCACTGCGAAGCTCTTCTTCAAGTGTGTTGCCGTTGACAATATTGCACACCAGGCCGAAGTCTTGACCATTTGGACGGTCTCTAATCACGCTGCCATAGTATGACGGAACTGCTGGATGCCGCAGCCTCTGCAAGACCGACGATTCGCGCTCAAACTTGTCCAGAGTGGTCCAACCTTCCTCCAGCCTGACGAGTTTAAGGGCCACTTTTTGCCCTGGCGACAAGTTCGGCACCTCGCATCGCTCACTGACGGTGGCCTTCCACGTCGTGCCGAATGAGCCAGCACCTAATTTCTCCTCCAGCAGCAAGCCTTCCACCACGTCTCCAGCACCAGCCGCGCGACCCACCAAAGACTGCAAGCGAGAGGGCCTTGGCCGGGCTGCGACAAATCGCGCAGAGACGCGCTGGTCCAGTGCAGCACCTGTCTCTGCAAAGCCGCAGGGCCTGCACTGCCAGATCAACACCGCCAATACACAGGCCGCACGCCGACCAGGCACTCGGTTTATGTGGCAGCCAGGCATGGCTCAGTAAAGGTAGCACTTGCACAATAACCGTGCAAATCTCCTGTCAAAGATTATGACTACACTGATGGCTGCTGCTGTTTGCTGCTAGTAGTGCATGAATCACGCCTAGGTTGCGACTGCCTTTTCCATGATTTCAATCACACCTATCGCTGGCGATAATCACTGTCGAGCTACCTTACCACTCCTTCCTATACTAATGCAAAATCTCGATGCTTGAGACAGTAGCACCAGCAAATGAGAAGCTTGTGGCTTCGCTCGAGCCTCGAAGCAGGAAAAACACAAATATTGACATAACTAGGGCTTCTTTCAACTAGAGTTCTCTGTGAGATATCGGTTCAACGTTGCGGTTTGCGATACTAGGACAGCCGCTCACATGGTGATGCGGCAGAAAACTGACCCAATGACAAGACAATTTCAGCCTTCGTGCCAAAGAGCTCGGCGCGAAGTGTGTAAGTCCACCATGAACTTAGACGAGCGGTAAATTCTCATGCTCGCGCTGGTAGGACACTGTCTAGCCGCCCTTCGCGAACGCCCCGATGCACTTCACTAAGTCCAATTAAGTGGGCCACTAGCCATAGGCACCACTCGGGCTCCAATACCTCGTCATGGTTGGGACGACATATGCCAGTGCAAGGGGGACCAGGCCGGTTGAGGCAGCAACTGCAACGGTCCAGGCTGCCTGTAGCTGTGGGCATATCGCCACTTCTCGCGCACCTGGCAAGAACTCTCCCGCGCAGCACACCTCAACAGTCGGATTGCTTTCCGATCGAAGGCAACGGCCTGACACCACCATATCGAAAAGAGCCTGCCAGCCTACTACATAGTTTGCATTGACAAAGATCCGGCTGAAGCAGCAGCCCGGTGTTTGGTCAAAGCTTCTTCGCTCGTGTGACTGGGCTTCACTGCTTCGTTGTTGCACATACGTGCCCGTTTGTCGATGAGAACAAGCTCGAGTCTGTCAACTGAGCGGGAAAGAAGCCAGCTACACCAGCGCGAAGAGCTTGAAAGCGTTATCTTCCTCCACCAAGGTACAGCTGCAACTTTGCTCCATGCTCCTAGCGCCTCCCTCTGCCTGCTTGTTCAACTGCCGCCGCTTGGCAATAGGCTCCAGCTGCGGACCATCGGGAGACGGCCTGAGGCTGCTCGAAATTTAGGGCTTAAGGATTATAGGCTTCAGGGTTTAGGAGTCATATAAATCAATAATATTGTTACTATTACCTTAAAATATGTATCACTAATTATAATTTTCAAGTTTCACGGTTTAGGGATTATGGGCTTCGGGGTTCGGGGATCATCGGCTGCAGAGCTGCGCATGCCCTTCATCCGGGCTTCCGGCTTTAGCAGCCGTGCCAGAGGGATCGCACATGGCTGCCAACTGAGGCAGGATACGGTTTTTGCCAGAGCACCCCAACCGTAAATCCTAAACTACCATTCAAAGGAAGGAAGTTGCGAGAGCAGGGCATGGTAAGGTCGGCACTCGATGGTGTCCTTCTGGATGTTTCGAACCTGTGTGTGCGGTACACAGATGGTAAACAACGCCACGGATGCAAGCGGAAGAATTTCTGGGCGATGCTAAGAGCACGGCATTCGCCATATAGCCCGTTTGCTGCTGTTCGATAAGTGCCCCTGCCTCTGTCTTGAGCTGACGAGATACATTTTAAATACATGGCACCACGTCTGATAGTGCTGGAGCTTCTGGGTGCGCTGCAACATGACCCAATGAGTAGCCCAGCTTGCAGTCCAACACCGTCGGCATCGGACTCAAAGCAATGTGCCTGCTCCACTACAAGAGCTCCCCGACTCTTTCAAGGGGACCAGTCGTTAAGAGGCGGCAGAGCGCTTCCAACACGGCCTCAAGCTATGTGGATGCTGCTCGAAGCAGGTGACGGTTCGCTTGCCCTCTTTCCCTCTCCTGCAGAAGGATCTTTGCACACAGCAACTAGCCTCCGGCCTGTTCTTCTGCACTGGGAGCCGGGCAGCGCAAGGCGTCTCGCAACAAGAGCAGCGACAACCCGCTCTGCTTCCATGAACGGAAACCTCGGCAAAGGTTGTCTACATGCAAGCATGACACAGCCTCTTTTTTTTTTTAAGGGACTCGGCTGCTGCCCTTACTGCCCAGCGGTGTCATGCCTTGAAATGTACCAATTACAATATGCCGGGATCTTCGCGTCGGAAGGCCATCAATCCCATCGGTCCTGCTGCAGCTTCCACGTGCTTTCCACAAACAACTACTCCGACAAACAACGAAGCGCCTGACCCTTAGACCGCAAGGCCCACATGCCTAAAACTCTGAATACACCGTATCAGCAACAACGCTCCTGAAGACCAGGGCGTTCTGCGCATCAGAGGGCAGCCTGAATTGCAATGCCGCGTGCCAGCCAGCTCCGACCCACATGATCGGATTAGGTTTTGGTTGAAGGCTCTTCTTTTCCACCATCCCGCTATTTGTCATGGGGCCTAGTATTAGGTTTAGGCGGCTTGGGACTTTATCAAGGCGTGCGGTTTTGGGGCGAAGAAAATCAGGGACGTAGGGCTGCAGGTTCGGGGTTCAAGCCGAAACAAGCACCACAGGCGGTCTGCAAATCGGATTTCACAGCATGTGCACTGCGGGCCCCTGCTCAGGGACCCTAAACCCTAAATAAGCCTTACGGTATCCTTATAACTATAAACCCTAAACCCTACATGCCCTAAACCCAAAACAGGGAGCAAGAAGTCTGGAGATGCCCCGGAAGTGCAACCAAGTCGCAGCGCGTAGTACTTAGCCAACGCTTCAGGCAGCATCCTCAAGGCAACTTCCTGGACAAGGAAGTGCTAAGTGGCAAGTAACCAAGTATGGATAGTAGGTCATGTATACATGCATGTTTGTGCGTCAATAAGCCTGCCTGCCTGCCTGGTCGGCTGACGGCTGGCTGTCTGTAGCTAGGCAGGCCGGTTGGCAGGCAGGCAGGGAGAGAGGTAGGTAAATGTTCAGGTATGTTTGTACGTCTGTAGCCTATCTATCCATCCACCTATCTCTCCACTAATCTAAGTACCCCCATCCACCCATCTATCCCTATCTATGATCTATCTATCGATCGAAATCTCGCTCTGCGGCTTTATCTGGCGATCTATCGTTCTATCTACCTATGCATCTTATTGTCCATACATCTGTTCGTCTGCCTCTCTGCTTATCTGCCTGTTTGTCGTTTGTCGATCTGTCTATCTATACATCCATCACCATCCATCCAGCCAGCCAGCCAGCCATCTTGGATGGATGGACAGATAGATAGAGTGCTAGAAACTCGTGCAACTACCCCAATCCCTTCCATATAGCCCGTAAACCCCAGTCCTTACAGATTGCAGTTAGATCCCGAGCAAAAAAAACATAAGCCCTCATCGCACATGTTGTTCATGAACTCATTTGGCTGACACCTGCCTCCGAACACAGCTCGGCAGGCTTCTCGCAGCGTAGCCTGGCACAGTTTCGTCTTGATCGGTTTTGCATGCTGGGCTTAGGGCGAGGAGTGACACATCCCTGGACAGGATGAGAGGTGCCCGAGTGCCTGTGCATCTCGCGACCTGAGTTGGCATCATCCCTCCGCCTTTCTCGAAACCTTTTGCCGCCATCTTATCCTAGAGGCGGAGCAGTCTGGTCTGATACAGCTTGGGGAAGAAATCGTCGGAAATCATGATGACGCCGGCCTGCACGTGCCAACGTTTTGTACTTCTGCCAAAGAGACAGTCAGCGCGGCAGCGACGGCCGAGATGCGGACATGCAAACAGTAGTCGTGGTGGCGCGTGACGATAACCTCCACAATTTCCTCGAGAATCATCTCTAACGTCATCCTTGGCGCACAGCGGAGGTGCAAGTTGACGGCCACAGGCCGCCTACTGTGTGTTGATCGCGGTATTTTGCAAGGCCGCAGCTCGCGCTGCAAGAGCTCTTCGCCAACATAGCAGAGGGTGGGCCTGATCTGCATGGCCACCTGCTGTCATTTAGGGCTCTTGGGGTTTAGGGTTTAGGGTTTGGGGTTTAGGGTTTAGGGTTTTTTACGGCCACAACATGGCCTCCACTGTCAGCGTGCTCGAGCCGCAGGAAACGAAGTGGTAGATGTCACGGTTCAAAGCTTGCCTATGCAGGAGCTTAGCAGCTTAGCAGAGCCTTGCACAGCCGATGCTCACCAGAAGCCTGCTGAGCGAAAGGTTGCCGGCGACCTCGCTCAGGACGGCGCAGGCACTGTCGAAGCCTGCACGGGATCACCAATGCATGCGCATTTGTGTTCTTGAAGAGAACCTTGCCTTTGCACAAGCAGTCACCAGCATAGGTCCATGCACCCGCACATATCACACACCCGCACATCCACACAAGCATGCAGAGAGAGAGAGAGAGTGTGCGTGTGTGTATGCGTGACAGACAGACAGACAGACAGACAGACAGACAGACAGACAGACAGACAGACAGATAGACAGACAGACAGACAGACAGACAGACATTTGACTTTGACGCTTTGAGTAGTCAGAGCTATGTACAGTGAACATAACCCGGCAGGTGCATGGCCATGTCACAACGGATGAACACTGCGATCATGGAAAGTTACCCAATAGCGGATTGATGTGGAAATCGAATCGCCACTTCCGGGCTGAACGTTGCATAAACAGTTCAGACAGACAGACAGCCAGCCACCCAGCCAGCCAGCCAGACAACCAGACAGACAGACAGACAGACAGACAGAGAGAGAGAGAGAGATAGGGAGGAGAGAGAGAGAGAGATAGGGAGGAGAGAGAGAGAGAGAGACAGAGACAGAGACAGAGACAGAGAGACAGAGAGACAGAGAGATAGAGAGACAGAGAGACAGAGAGACAGAGAGACAGAGAGACAGAGAGACAGAGAGACAGAGAGACAGACAGATCGAGAGATACAGAGAGACAGAGACAGAGACAGAGACAGAGACAGAGACAGAGACAGAGACAGAGAGCGAGACAGAGACAGAGATAGAAACAGAGACAGAGATAGAAACAGAGACAGAGATAGAGACAGAGGGAGAGAGAGACGTACAGGAAACAAGCACGGCTGGCAAGAGGGGTTTGCGGCTCTTGGCCTAGGGTTGTCTGGATCCAATCCGGTTGTGTAACCTGCGATTCCGAGGCTTCCGGGAAGTCCAAGCGACGGAGTGTCACCGAGGCTACGGCCCAACCACTCACGCTGTGAAGGACAGTAGCCACAGTGGTGGCGGGCCGCTCCTGGAAGAAAGGGTTTGGGGCTTAGGGTTCCAAGTGCTGAAGCTGACAGCATCTGACAGCAGTAGGCCTTCTGGAGGTGCTCGGTGATTCTTGCGATAGTTAGCACCTCGCTGGGACCGCACCTCAGGATAGTCTGGGGCCTCAACAAGAGGCCCGTCTGGCATCACGCATCTGAGGTCACCACAAGAAGACCAAGCCATTCAGCTGCAAGCTGTCACAAATATCAGTCACCTTCCACGATTGTCACTCCGACGACCTCTTGAAAAAACACACATGAAGAAGGCAGAGAGGCCTGGCCTGTTTCAGCAACATGTTGTTCCAGCGGATATGGATGGTCGGCAGGAGGTCACTGCCGGCCTGTCACGACTTCCACAGCCCCCCAAAGCCCCAGGCTGGCTGTGGCTGTAGCCTTGCCTGGTTTAGGAAGTAGTTAAAGCGGTCGTCGATGTCGAACTCGTGCACTTTGGCGAGGTTGCGGATACCGATCAACTTGGACCCTGCCAGGGCCGGCCGGTGGAAAAAATCCCGGAGTCCGAGCAGCACGTTGTGCGTGCCCGACGCCGCCACGGCGTTCGCCACGCTCACGACGCCCACGCGCCGGGCCTTCGTGGGCTCCGAAAGCTCCGGCTCCGAAGGCTCCGGCTCCGAGGGAGCCGGAGCGGCCGAGCTCTGAGCTTCCGAAGCCGCAGTGGCTGAGGCGGCCGGGGGAAGGGGAGGGACGGGAGGGACGGAAGGGACGGGAGGGACGGGCAAGACGAGGGAGGCCTCGGCCTTGGTTCGATCTACGAGGAGCGGCTCGAGCGTTCCGGTTATGGGAAGGATCTCTCGTACTTCTGCCGAGGCATCGGCGAGCCAGACCTCCCCGGAGCATCTCTCATGAAACTGGGGCAGACCATCCGCTAGCAACTTGGGGAGCGGTGGGACATCTCCAGCCCGATGTTGCTCTAAGTCGCTTCGCCTGGTCTTATCCCTTGTTTTCCCGGGTCTCAAGTTCGGAGTGATCTTCACCTCCTTTGTGATCTTCGGTGGCCGCCGAATTTCAAGCTGTGGAGATCCCGGCTGCGACGGAAGGAGGAGCATCTCTGCCTGTTCGCCACTAGCCCATTGCGGAGGCTGAGTTGTTCGGGGGGTGGACTCGTTTCAAGGACTGAAAGACACTTGACAGTTTCTGGGACTTACGGGGACTACTTCGTGGCACCACAGCAAGCAACACGATCCAGTGCGAAACGTGCGGAGAGTTCTTGCCGCAGTCATGAAACGTATCCGATCAAGGCTCTGAACCTTGTGCTTTGGGAAGGAAGGAAACAGGCAAAGAAGCGACACAAAGACTTGGACTGCTTCACATGGCAGGCAGTCTTCCGAGGCGTCGAATGTTTTTCCCGAAGGCAACGGCTGAGAATTCGCTAGCTTGCAACCTGTGCCGACGTGCGCTGAAGCCACAGGCGCAGCTCAAGCTCATTATCTGGAAGCTGCGCTTCCTGGATGGTAGCCTCAGGCAACACATCCTTGAAGCCACTTGTGCTCCCTGATAAGGAACCTATCGGTAGATCTTCCTAGCTGGACTGGAGCACATGTGGCCTATCGAGCCTTCTACAATTGGTGAGGAGGGCCCGACTAGACATGGGCAATGCCTCACTCTTGTGAAACTCATGACGCGAAAGGGCGCCCTGCTTGGGAGTGGCTGAGATTCGTCGATGGGCTGCCCTCTTGAAGATGCACCCTTCAGCGCATGTGACACAGGCTTCTGCTTGGATTCCCAGCAGTGCCGAACACTAACCATATGAGGGTGAGACTGAGGACATTTACAGCGATGATGCAGGTATCGTGTTTCGAAGTCGGGTGTTATCAGTACTTCAATGCCAGGAAAGCGGCCACTCCTGCCTTGATCCATTTGTCTACGACCTGGTCCGTCTTCACCTCGATATACAGCACGAAGTTCGTCGAGTGCCCTGTTGTCAGGAGAGTTCCCTTCCGCGATACCACCTTGTAGCATGGGCACCGATAGTCTGCGGCGTTAGGAACGCGATTCTTGACTGGCAGAAACTGCAGCGGAGGCAGATCGGTGAAGAGCTCCTTCGGACGCGACTCCTCGAGCTGGTGGGTCGTGTTGTCGAAACGCGCTCCCTCCAAGAAGATGCCGTAAACATACACCCCATCGTCGGGAGGCGTCGTCAACTGCGCCTTGGCATCGCTGATGTGATCCATCGTGTGCTGGCTAAAGGAGAGGAGGTCAATCTCCTCCCCATATTTCCGGGCAAAGTTTTGCATCGCTCCCGTGAAAAACGCTTGTGGGAAGAAGATGCCACTGATCCAGAAGACGGGTGGCGCATGCCCCAGGTCGAACCACATCTGGAAGAACCTTTTCAGATGCAAGCCCGGGCAGGGCTGCACAGTTCGACGGTGAACTCTAAACCCCAATTCCTAAATTACTCAACCCCTACACCTTTTTGAACCCAGACTCTGCCCAACACCTAAACTATAAACCCACTGAAGAAGTTGCTGCGTCCAGGCAGCCCAACGCGTGCAAGAATGTCCAAGTACCAGCTGCTCAGGGGCTTCAAAGACAAAGGACCCTTCTTGGACCACCTCAGCTGCGTTTTATGCAAGTCTTTCATGCACTTTCCTATAGTCTCCATTGTAGTTCCTTTTGGGGGGATACCTTATAACATCCTTAAGAAATTGGTTAAACCCAAAAAAGGAACTACAATGGAGACTAGAGGTAATTAAAGTTGCTCTCTACCAGGCAATACTATATACAACTACTTAATTATAGTTATATACTCTCTACCAGGCTATACAGGCTGAGGCAGGGGCATCTCTGGAACCTCGTTGACAAACAAAGACTTGCCGGCAGCTTCCAGCTCAGCAGTCATGACGATGAGCCCTAGCACCCAGGAGTCGTGGACAGTTCAGTGTTTTTTTTTAGGGTTTAGGGTTTAGGGTTTAGGGTTTAGGGTTTTGGGTTTAGGGTTTAGGGTTCGGTTCTCTGGGACGACCGAAACCTCGCCTTTGATGGCTTTTCGGAAATCTTTCAGAGAGCTTGTCATTGACCAGATCAGCTTGTTGTATCGAAGGCATTCTTGCTTGACCACCGTGTTCATGGACTCTTCATACCTGGCGATTGCCACGCTAGACACAACACCAACTCGTGGGAGTCGTCAACTGCTGTTGCCGCCGCGGGGCAGTGTTGGGAATTTGGTTTCGCAGACATCCAAAGGAAATGGTTTCGGCAGTCGATCTTGAATCGATGCTGCAGTATCATCCATTACCTGCCACATGCAAGCCGGCACAGAATGCGTAGTACACGCAAGTTACTTGCAATGCGGCGCCAAGATGATTGTACACAAGCCCAAAACCACTGGCCAGTGAGTGCAAAGGAGGTGCTGAATCTGCGGACCCTCCCTCGCCACCACCAGAGCTCAAGGACACCTCGGAAACAACCAGGCCGAAAAGAAGCTTCGATTTCGACTCTCGCGCTCGCACCAGGCAGACAAGGCTGCACAACAACTGGTCCAAGCTGAAAGTAATGCATGTAGGGCTCTGGGACAACAGACACCAAGAACTGAACACACCAATCTTAAAGAGTACTGCACGACATGATGGAACGATCCACCAGTCACCAGCTGAAGCCAAAACAGAGAGTCTACTTTGGCCTATACTCCGTACTTCTGTGCCAAGACCATTTATATAGCCTGAGACTCCGTGCTGCGTGGACTTTGGGGTTTGGGGTTTAGGGTTTAGTGCAAGGATTCACTTTATCAAGCGTTCAGGGCTTTGGCTTACGCTGTCGCGGCCAGCATCTCAGGACCGAGCCATGCTTTGCATCCCCGTCAGAAGCTTCAATGCTTCGTCTTGGGCCTTAGCGCACAGTTGCGGAGAAGAAACGCTGCAGTCTGCGTCAAGGCCAAACGATGGGCCCAAAGACCTATCTCCAATCAGCTCGCAAAAAGAGTATCACTAAGCCTCGACCCTAAACCCTTTTGCACCCTAATCCCCCAAAAAGTGGAGAGGACTAAGTCTTGGGCACAAGTGATGTTGCAATTCTCGTGCAAGCCGAAGGCTTCGGGCATGGGATACAGAGGCAAGCCTGCCAGCCAGGCTTCAGGGGAAGGAGGCTTTAGGAACTTGTTGGCACACTGTAGAATCAAGGCTTAGGCAGGTTTAGGTTTGGTGAAGCGTGCAGGGTCTAAGGTGGTCAGTGGCCACGCTTGGGGAAAGCAGATGATTCGCACTCAGACATGGCAGGGCTGGAGCCTTTAATGTAGGTGATGAACTCTTCCATCGTCTCTGCAGCTGGGGCATAGTAGAGGCCGCTCGTTGAGTACTTGTAACCATCCTTTTGCTCCACCGACTCCGGACAAATGAAAGTCTGAAGGATCGTGGAGATCAGCAGCTTATCCTTGTCGTCCGTGACGCGACCACCATAGTTGATCTTCGCGCCAAGGAAGTTTAAGACTTTATAAGGCACCTGCTCGTACTGGTTGACGAAGAGCATGAGCTGCTGCCGACAGACTTGCAGATCTTCCGGTGTGAAGCCATAAGCGATGTTCCAGCCTATCGGCCCAAACTTGCGCCTGTCCTGGACAACCGCATGGAAGAAGCAGAAGCCGAAGAGCAATGTCTTGAAGATCTCCGGCTTGTTCGACTCCTTGAAGAGTTCGTCCGAGAGCGCAGAGTATGAGCGAAGCAAGTTGGCCCGCAGCCCAGAGGGCGGCTCATTCGTCATCTTAACTCCATTCTGCAGCACCTGCACCGGGAAGGACTTGGCGGGCATGGATGTGAGCCACAGACGGAAGCTGGTCTGCATGTTGTCAGGGTTGAACTGCTCCACGACAGCCTCCAAGGTGGGCATCCAAGACTCCATCAGGTGACAGTTTGAAAGCAAGACCCATCCGCCGCTGCCCTGAGCATTTTCGATGAGCTTCATTGCCTTGGGCCCTTGCCCCTGCCCCAAGGAAATCGACTCAAATCGCTTCAGCATGCCAAGCTTGTCAGCGAAGGCGATGACGTCTGAGACTGGATCAGTGCCTGGTGACAGAATGAAGATCAACGGTGTCGTGTTCACGGAGTCGGCAAAGGATTTGCTGATGTCAAAAGTGGGTGGCTCGACAAATGCTTGACCGATCTGATGCGAGATGAATGTGATCACCGATGACTTCAAGCAGTCAATACGCATGGCCCGGATGAAGCACATCTTCTGCATGGGGGTGAGTTTGGCTTCCCACTCCCCCGGCACTGGCTCTTTGTCAGCTTCTACAGAGTCGTAGAGCTTCTTGAAGTCAGACACATGCGAAGCAAAGTAGTCAGAGAAACCGGCGAAAGCTGGAAGCGTTGACAGCGTGAGGATTTCGTTCCACCGCGGTTTCCCCACCCACTCCTCCGGAATCGGCGGCCCTTTCTCCACCAAGTCTGCCGTCGGACCGACCTTCAATTAGGGCTTAGGGCTTATAACCTTGCACTCACAGTAGAGTTTAGAGTCCAAAATCAAAAGTGGCCCGGGCAGAGGAGCTGATGTTTGGGCCTGAATAATCAGAATAGGGTTTTGGGGCCCATTATACTATAATTTTAATAAGGAGCCCCTAAAATAATAGTACTAGTAATTCTTAAGGCCCCTACATCAAGACGCTACTCTGGCCAGCTCTTATCTCCTGCTTGCAGCCAGCGAGCCAGCAAGAATCGCAGCTCTCCGTCGTCCAAGAGCTTGTCGCCTTGACGCTCGAGTTAAAGTAACAGCTCTCTGAGGGTGTAGGGTTGCCATATGGATGTTTTGTTTGTTAAGGGCTCAGGGCTTTTGCACTCTCACAACTCGGGCAGTGCAGGCTCCAGGCTTTTTCGACTCTCACTCTCGCACAAGGCAGGCAAGGCTCCACATAGTTCCGTCACGCGAGATGACTGCGTAGGGCTTTTGGGTTTGGGGTTTAGCTATAAGCGTTGAAGGGTTCAGGGCAGTTTAGGGGCATGGCTTGACACCTGCTTGGCTGAGGCCGGCACCTCGCAGAATGCTGGTGCAGAGGGCGAAGGAGAAAAGCGTCTTGTCCTTCTCGAAGAGGCCACGGCAGATGGACTGATACAACGCCTCCGTGAAGAAGCTCTTCAATATCCCGAGGCCTCAGGGTTTAACCGACTTCCAAGAGCCGAAATTCTGTCACTTCATACGAGTTTAGGGTTTAGGGGTTCAGGGGTTTCGGGTTTAGGGGTTTAGGGGTTTAGGGTTTAGGGTTTAGGGTTAAGGCCAAGCCACGCTCTTCGAAGTCCTCTGACTTCGGAGACGTATCAATAGCGATCGTGAAAAGCTTTTGGAACCACTGCAGGCTGTACCTCAGCAGACTTCTGAGGGTTGCATGCACTCTAGCACGATGATAAACTCAGAGGTGCTCAAGAGTTCTATGATACAGCATAACATGCAACCACATGCTACAAAACAAACATTATGATATGCTGAATGTACTATAATGTGTTAGGAGATGTCAGGCACCAGCAGTTTGCAATCCGAGCTACTGATACATAGGGTCAATGTTCGTCAGCTCCACGATGCAGAAGAACAGCACAGCAGTTCGGAAAGCCACAGGTCGATAGCTCTCGCGTGCCGCATCGATGTTCTTCTCCGTCACCTGCTAGGGTTTAGGGTTTAGGGTTTAGGGTTTAGGGTTTAGGGTTTAGGGTTTAGGGTCTATTATTTTCACCCCTAGCAATCCGATCTGGACATAGTAAGCAGGAGCATGCCTCTGCCACCTTCTTCTTTTCGTTGATGTCGTCTGAGACCGCTTTGGAATCCGTCACCTGCCACCAGCGCCAGCTTCCATCGGAAACAAACGCTCACGGCTCTTATCATCTATCAGATCTATCATATCTTGAAATATAATGCGTTAAAGAGAATAACTTCGCGTAATCCCTAAACCCTAAACCCTAAATCTAATGTGTCTTCGGTTCGAGACCCTACGTCTCAGAGAGCCCGCCTTGTCAACCAAGGTGTCGTCTTCCAGCACGTCGCCCTCGCTCGTGGCCAGGAGCCGAAGGATATCATCCTCAAGCTTTAGGGCTAAAAATAACACGTTTCTATATTACGGTTTAGGGTTTAGGGTTTGTTCTTATGCTCTCAGTACCCGGACTAGCCAGATGAGGTCGCACGGTTTGCAGTCGGACAACTAACGGTATAAAACTTGCAGCTGCATCACGAATCAGCTCACCAAATGACCAACTAGCCAACTGACAATGAACCGAGTGCAAGGCTTTTTTCTCCGCTCTCGCGGTGAAGTTCCCATTCCCCGGTGAGGACACATTTTTGTGTCTCAACCCCCGAATCTTCAAGCCCCTCTTGAAACCCCCCGGTTCTGCTCACATCCGCTTCAGCAGGGCGGGTATTCGACGTCGACCGGCAAGTGCACAGCCAGCAACAAGCGCGATGGAAGCACCAAATGCAGCGGCACCAGTGCCAAGACGGCAACCAGGTGCGACTGCGTCGAGTCCCGTCGCCGTGCCGCAGCCGCAGCCGCAGCCGTGAGAGTCGCAGGCGATGGTCGAAAGGACCGGAAGTCCGAGTCTCGGGGCACTCGGGCCAGTCACTTTGCTCTGCGAGGGCGGCAGAGGCGGCAGAGGCTGCGGCAGCAGTGGCTCCTTCCCCTTCGCCTTCGCCGCCTTCGCCTCCTCCGTGTAGCGGAGGGGCAGCTGCAGCAGCTCGGCTTCGGGCACGTGCTGCCTCAGCTCCACGTTCGCGAGCTCGAAGAGTCGCCGTGATGCCTTGGCTGAAAGCTTCTCCTTCTGCTTGTCGGAAGCGAAGATCACCTGCTTGATGCCGGCCTGAATGATCACCTTGGCACATTCGTTGCAGGGGAAGAGCGTCGTGTAGATCCTGCAGCCCGAACAGCTTTCGGCATTCTTGTTGAGCACCGCGTTCAGCTCCGCATGAACCACATAGGGATACTTCGTCTCGAGCTCGCCTTCCGGCGAGACCTGGGAGTTTTCGGAAAAAAGGTGGGGGTACCTTATTCTTGGGTCCTTATAATAAGGACCCTAATATATTTGGGGTACCATATTAGGGTCCTTATATATTTAGGATCCTGCTGTTTGGGGTGCCAGGGTCCCCTGATCTTCGGAAACCCCCACCTTGCTCCATGGCAACTGGTCGCTGGGGCAATTGCTTGGCATCCCGTTGTAGCCTACGCCGACGATGCGATTCCGATCGTTCACAATGCAGGCGCCCACCTGGCTAGTTCTCTAAATGATGCTCTCTTCTCAGGTCCCAACAATAGAGCATGACTCAGTATGACACACTGATAAAAAGGACCCTGTAAGGGACCCGAATTCTCCTGTAAGGGGACCTTTCAAAGGGACCCCCTCCGTTGAGAGAAACCCTAAACCCTAGACCCTATAAACCCTATAAACCCTGTAAACCCTTAAACCCTAAACCCTTTAAACCCTAAAAACCCTATAGCCCTAAACCCTACGGCAATAACCCAAAACCACGCCTGTGTTGAGGGATCCTTGGAGCGCATCGCTGTGAGGAAGGCAAGGCTCATGAAGTAGTCATCCCAGGACCTACTCATGGCTGGGAGAGTATTAAAAAGGTTTAGGGTTTAGGTTTTAGGGTTTAGGGTTTAGGGTAGTCATCCCAGGACCTACTAGTAGCTCATGGCTGGGAGAGTATTAAAAAGGCTCATTCTTGGGGTTATAAGTACCCATAATCATGGTATTCCATTTTTTTACAAGGGACTCTGCTGCTGCCCTTACTGCCCAGCTCATGGTATTCCATCAAAATCTAAATTTCTATTCCTTCTTGAGTTTAGTTGCCAATAAATATGTAAAATGTTACCCAACCATGAGAAAGGGACAAGGCGTCCTTTCGAGGAGACGAGCTGCTCATTGCGGAGGCTTCTTGGCCTGCCCTCCGTCGGTGCAGAAGGAGTCTTTTCCATACCCAGCTTTTGAGCCGTAACGGTAAGCCATAAAATTAGGGCTAAGGGGGTTGAGGGTTTTGGGGCTGTGGGCGACGGCAAACTATCTGAGCACTTACGGCGAAAGGCTTCTGGCGCCATGCCGGTGGTCACGCAGCAGTAGCCCGTCCTCAATGTCTTTCAAGATCTTGTTGTTTTTGGCATTCTGGACCACGAGATTGTTCTTCTCTTCTTCGAGATCCGGACCTTTGCCAGACCGTGCATGAGGCAACATGGACCTGCTCCTGCTCTTATCACGCTGCCGGCCCTGAACAGCAGCACTCAAGCTGCTGACGCTCTTTTGCCACCACAATTCCCAGCATCTGATCCTTTTAGGGACCGCTGGCTGAAATTGGGGATCGGTGCATTTGCCTTGAACATATTGCGTCGCTGCCAGCACAAAAGCGCTAAATGTCCTCGAGTCCACTCGGTGTGATGGCGAAATTGAGCCTTGTCTTCAGCTACGTCTGCGCCACATCAAGCTTGGCAGTACTTCATGCCGAGAGACAGAGTCACCTTGACGGAGGTTTCTGGCCTCGCGCTAATAATGTCAAAAACTCCGCAGACAAAGCAAACGCCTGTCCGAGGACGCGGCGAGTAGTGTGGATTCGGCAAAGTCGTTGTCATGAAAAACTTGAAAGTCTCCTGGGCGCAAGGCTTGTAGCTGCTACTGACTGCTTGTGTCTCTGGCCAGGAAGCAGCCAGAAAAGTTCAGGTCAAGGTTCTGTGTATGTGACGGACTTGTCACCGAGCTTGATGACATAGCCGGAACCATCCTGCCAACTTGACAGCTTCAACAGATGAGACAATACTGGGCCGAAGAGGCACGATGATGATACAAATGTTCAAGCCGCAGTCACCGTGAGAACAATAGTAAGCAAGAAAGAGCTACGCAGGTAAGAGAGGTGTCCTTGACCTTCTGCTGGCCGAGCACTGGTTCCAACGCAGGGTCGAGGTTGATGCCAATGTTCTCCAGCCTCAAAGGGGATGATTAGGGTTAAGGCTCACAAGAGCCTTCCTGAAGTTGCTGATGGCTGGAAGTCTGGGAAGCGGCACAAAATCCACTTGCCGAATTGGATGCCAAGCTCCAACCTGGCCAGGCAGAAGACGACCCTAATTCCGTCAGCCTTGGGGCCTTCTAAGGACAAGTTGCGTTCGCAAGAAGTTCTTCTCACTGAGCTTGCAAACATCGATCCCCGTTTCGGTGTCCTGTCGGGAAGAAACTCGGAGGGAGGATCGAGGTGGAAAGCTACTTCCGCCTTGCCCATGTTCTTGATGTATTTGTTGGCCTGTCTCTGCGGGTCGATCATCAGGGGCCAGCGCCTGCCATGTTACGCATTGTCGCGATGGGCCGTCGCTTCGGTGCTCTGCCTCGCACGGTCGATGATGATGCCGTTTTCGATGGACAGCTGGTCGTTCGGCAAGGAGCAGACCACCCACTGCCTTGAGGCACTCCGACTTTGCTCGGATCTCGGCACGCCCGATACCACTGCTTTTCTTCAGCTCAGCCGCTGGATCTTTACTGGATCCCCAAGCACGGTCGACATGCTGCATCCTGGCAGCTGTCAGCTCTAGCCCCAGATAAGTGGTGAACGATCATGAATAAATAGAACCGAACCATAATCAATAAGAGCTAGATAGTAATTTAATTCAGCCAAATCAAGCAGAGTTTGGGCCTTTTGTGTGGGCCATTTCCAGCTCCGTCAACTCCTTTCGCCAGAGTTCCTCGCAGTCGCTTCGGACCTGCGAGGTGAAGGGTCCTGCCTCGGCCAGCACACTGCTTTTTGCAGGAGAGACGTATACCTCCTAACGTTCCCTAAACCCCCAGGTACCTACTATACAGGGTGCTAGAGCCCTTATAGGGCCCTATATAGCAGGTACCTGGGGGGTTCGGGCTTGTTCTTCTGCTTTGAAGTCTCTTCTTTCTGGCCATTTCTGGCCAGAATATCTTAGAGCTGGGCGTAGGAGACCATGCCAGCAGCCACGATGCAGTCACCGGGCAGGAGTCCCAGCTGTGCGTTGAGGTCCTGCAACACCACACGGAGTATGCCCCCCGCCTGTCTGGCTCCAAGGCTCAGAGGTTTACACTCCCACAACTCGGAATCCGGCGAGATCTATCAGGTGTAGTCGGCATCAAAACCCTTTTTGCATCAGGACTTGTGCAATCGGCATCAAAACCCTACACCCTAAACCCTAAACCGTTTCAGGCTCAGGGCTTCGCTTTCGACCGCACTCGCAGGCAGGGCTTCACGACGACCAGTCCACAAGAGACCTGGGTAGCCTTCGGTTTCAGGTTTAGGGCTTATAGGGGTTCCTGTCGCATAAGAAACCCTAGACCCCCAGGTATCTACTATATAGGGCCCTAGGGGCTCTAGTACCCTATGTAGTAGGTACTTGGGGGGGCTAGGGAAACCCTAAACCCTTTCCTTTTTCGCAGCAGGCTTCTCTCGCCCGAAACCC